TCAAAGTTGAACCAGGGGTCTGGCTGTAAGCTTTTAGATGCTACATTGTTGGCCTGCTTTATTTCTCCTTCTGCAAAATAATGTAGCTACCTAAGTGTATTTATTTTAACCTATGTAATCATCTCAACACTTCTTCTCATCTGACTCTTGGATCTTAGCAATTTTCCTGAAGTCGGTTATTGAGTATTATTATAAAATGATTTCAAAGATTTAAGATACCCCCCACAGTAGGTGTTCCTGGCAAACATAAGAAAAATCATATCTCTCTGCTGGTCCTCAGAAGACTGATTACAGTCTTGGTTGACTTTCCTGGCCCGTGCCTACATTGTACAAGCCCTCAGCTCATCAGTTGTCTAACCTGGACATTTAATACTCCCGAGTGCTTCAATGCCTGTGTCTCCACCATCTGGAGTGTTATCAGCATATTGAAACTGACAGCAGGAATGTTGTTCAAAATGTAATCCAATGCTCCTGCATTCACTGAATGGATTCTGCAGCATACACAGCTTTGATCTCACTTTCCACCGCTCCAACTGCCACAACTATTATGACCCCTCTCAGTGCTGCAGACTGTGTCTTATATCTGCTGTCCATGTTATGTTGTCAGTGCCACTCATACATATGGACTGATCAGCGTAGATTTGGCTAGTGTGCCAATTCTGGGAGTTCTGCCAGGCGGCATACAGCATGGATGCTTTCCCTCAGAGGGACAAAACGGAAATGACAAGGCAATTGCCATTCTGTCAGCATTGCCATGGTAGCACAGGCACGGCTGTTTATCCCAAGGTTAATGGGATGACGCCTGGAACTGAAAGTGGCAGATTGAGAGAAACATGTGCCTGTTTTACTTAAAACAAGAGTGCTGTCGCATCTCACAGAAGTGAACCAGAACAGGTCGGATTCACGAACAGTATGGACTTGATAAACGTCACTCCTCTTACCTCCAGCATAGATCATACATTACAAAATCAAGACATTTGTGCATTTGTCAAAAATATTGATGTAAATGATGTTTGTCACTTAACCCTTGCTGGTATTGATCAAAACACTCTAAAGCATGCAGAGCATTACTGAAACTGATAAAAGCAGTGAAGCGGTGAAGACGAAGCATTTTGTAAAGACAGGATGTACATTTAGGCTTTAGGCATTTGACTATCAAACCTAATGAAGATCTCTTACTGAGGATATTGTAGTATTTGTACTGATGTACTGATGCCTGTTTTGATGCTTTAACATCTGATCAAATTTGACTTATAATATTGATACCTAAGTATATAGTCATTTTTCCACACAGTGAAAATGGCATGTTTTGTGAATGCTTTACACCAGAGATTACAAATGACGCACTTTTAAAAACAATATTTCAGTTAGCAGCCGCTGTCTCAATATATAGAACAAGCTTCACAGAGGTAGGATTTGGTGCAGGGCGATTTTATTGCTCGGGTTCACATTCACCAGTTTCCTGAGCAACAATAGGTACAGCTTAATTCAGCTCGATATTGTTTACTCCTTGAATGTGAGGTGAGATCAGTGCAACTCGCTCATCCATGCCAATAAATATAGTTACGTTTATAGTTCTTTACTTAATATATAGGTATATAAAACGATCATCATAGCGTGTGAATTACCCAATAACACCTATAAAGATTTTCATCAGAATAAGTGCTGTGAAGACCTGTGTGTGTGTGTGTGTGTGTGTGTGTGTGTGTGTGTGTGTGTGTGTGTGTGTGTGTGTGTCCGTCTTTTCACTGAATTGTCGTCCTGACAACAATTCCGCAACAATATCTACCTCACCTGTTGCCATTTCAACGTTAAATACAATAAAACGGGAAATTAATTGCTATGTCGCATTCATCTAGATCAGGGATGGTCAACTTGGATGGTGGTGTGTGTGTGTGTGTGTGTGTGTGTGTGTGTGTGTGTGTGTGTGTGTGTGTGTGTGTGTGTGTGTGTGTGTCGTTCTCTCCGAGCCCTATGCTGAATGTACAGTAGCTGCAAATGTGGAGGATAATGTACTTGATAAATCAATCTAAAACACTTTTAAACTTGTACTTATTTGTAATTTGTTCACCTCAGCCGTATAGAGTGGCATGGCTGCTATGTGAAAGGCTTTACCACTAGGATTATAGTCATTCTGATGGATGGCAATGAGACAGATTAATCGACTGCTGTGGAACCCTCACTTATCTGATTTTAGAGCTGCTCCTCCCTTTATGTTCTTGAAAGGCAGAATTATCTCTCCAGCAGTAAATGGGTTGTAATGTGTGTTTTAATGGAAAATTAGCTAAAGATTACAATTTTCTCTAGTTACAATTTGAATAAAACAAGCCTGTGAAACATTTTAGTGGTTTCAGTACACTACATTTATTTCACTATGAATAATGTTGTTTACTCTATGAAGCCCGTTTATGTCCCGTTAACTTCTCAAAAGTTTTGTTGTAGTTTGCCGCAATTCACTTAAGAGAAGAAAGAAGAAAAGAAGAAACTGGGGTTGAAACTGCCCACTGGAGAACCTGAATAGTTCCCAGTGTTTTTTATTGCTGGTAGCCCACATAGCAAACTCTCCTTGTTAGGGGAGTGGTAAATGTTCAAAGCAACTGGAGGCATTGTGTCTCAGACAGCTCTGCCAAAAGGAATTTTTCTGTGAACACAAATGGGACGGAAGTAAGTCATAACCAATTGCACAACTGCCTCCAGTGTGTATTACTTTAACTGTATACATACACATCAGCTAGCCCCGCACAGTCTGAGCTCTTATTGTTTTTCCAAGAAACATTCAGAGACATACAGAGAAATGTAATGGAACTGCGTGGGGATATATAAGTGCCATGATTGATTCATATTGGTGGCGGACAGATACTAGAGATCAATACTGATATTCGGGAGGTTGTACCCAGTCCAGAGTAAATGTTTTAAAATATATGTAAACACATTACATAAGCAACAATTGGATAGATTCATTCTTGTCTGTGCTCTCTTGTGAATTACCTATGTAATGGTGACAATGTTTCCACAATATTTCCCTCTAATATACTTCTGCAGCTCTGCCTTTTCTTGTTACTCAGTGGCCACCACCAATTAATCTGCAAAAAACAGATATGAGTTTATCGGTTTCAGCTCTATGGGTTCAGGGGACCAAACATGTCATTATATGGCAATGAATCAGGGCCAGAAATGATGAATTATTATCCCTTTTCAGGTAGGATATGGCATTTAAATGAGCTGCACAAGCCAAACAGAATAACTTTGTTTGTTTCTTTAACATTAAACAGAAACAGAGCAGTATTTCTTTACAGTTTGGTCTATCAACCGCTAAGACTAATGTGTGCCTTTATTCAGGTTGCTAGATGTCCCATTCTTTACTCTAGACCTCCTATATTGATTGTGTTGTCGATTCTCAGTAAGACTGGCCTTGGTAGCAAAGCTTTTACATCACAGGGAGTCATTTGCTTCGGTGTTGATATAAAATATATTACTTCACAGCGCTTTAACCTTTAATCAATTGGTTAATAGACCTAATTGAATTGAATTGCTTCCTAAAACATCCATGTGGATGGCAAGGTTACATAGAAAGCTTGTCAGCAAGCACAGATCAAATATAATTGAAGGAAATGTATTGTATTCACATATATTTTTTCTATTTAATTTAAGAAGATTTCTTATACAGAACATTTTTATTTGAATACGCTAAGCATTTGCTCAAATAAATAAAAAATACTTTCTATGTATTTTCAATTTTCATGCAGCCTTTTCTATCCTCATAATAATTACATACATAATGGGCTAGGTGCCATTGTATAACATTAGTTGGTGAGATATTCGCAAGTCTAACGCTATGATTGACAAATATAATCCTACCTCCTAATGCAGTCATTATTAGAAATGCAGCTCAACCAACATTCTAATGCAATCCAGACCTCACCAGCTCATAATCTTTGAGGTTGTATTCACAAGGCAATTTATCTTAATTTAAGTCACTGGACAAATCCAAGAAATATAAGAACCAAGACACTGAGGACGTGACCATGTTTAATTAACTCTTCTCCTAACTTCGTGGCATACTCACTGGAGGGATGAATGTAGTGATTCCTGTTGATGTGTCTGCGCTCTCCAACATGCATCTTTATGTTTCTTCCTTGGCCGACGTGTTCATTTCAAAATAATCCTTTAGTTTTGGCTGCAAGGTGTTTATACATTACGACATAAAGCCACTCTTGATCCAGCCTGTTTTAGTACAGTGGGTTTCTCATATTTTTTCACGAACCAGCCGCCAAGTTGTCCTATATCTTTAGGGAATGGGATCATGAATATTGTGTTAACCCAGAAAAGTTAAAATCCATGCATGCTTCCTTGTTCCCCTGATTCCTCAGCTTTTGTTATTGCATTGGCCCATTGTACCCGTAAAGAGATCAAGGGGACCCCTGTCGGTTGTGGATTATTCCTTTGTAGAAGCGCCACTGTAGGGGATAGAGGATTAAAAGAGCAGACAGTGAATGGGGATTCTACAGGAAGTTCGTTTGGAGCACACACTGCACAATAATTGTTAAAGCGGACTGTTTTCTATTGAATAGCGTATTTGGTTTAATGTTTTTTAAAACCTATTTGAGCCAAGGAATAGACCCCCATTAACTCTGTACCCATTCCAGGCTTTCAGTTTGTGCAGCACTGAAGGATCTGCCTCATTTGGATATTTATATCCTATATGGACTTTATGGACTAATTAACGCTGGAATTGCCTGTAGCCAGATGATGAATTTTCATTATGTTTACATGTTTTCCCAGCTGTTGGAGGGGTTTAGAGGGCACTGCAGCTGAATGAATATGAAGAATCTCTGTCTCCCTTCCCTCAATTTCCGTTAAGGGCATATTGAAAACTGTCCGCTGCTGTAGCAGAAATATTGTCACTGTGTTTTCAAAATGGTGTGTGTTATATAAAATCCTTAGACAAAATTGTATTCTGTCTGCATCTTTATAAACTTGTGTTTCTTCTGTTAATGCAGGACACCATGGACCTCGAGGATGGGCAGCCGCATACCCAGAATGTTCTGCGAAGAACCAATCACCTGTTGACATTACAGATGAGCGAGCTTTGGTTTCGGAGGAGTACCAGGAGCTGGTGTTTGACAAGTTCAACACTGAGTCCTCCAACCAGACCACCATGAAAAACACTGGAAAGACAGGTCGGCATCTAGTATTGTCTCAATACAAAAATTATGGGTGCAATACGATCCCTGTCGAAAGCATTTTGGTACCAATACTACAACTATACCACAGCAAAAACCTATTATGCAAACTCCACTTTTCCATGTCTTTTATACATCAGATTTTGGCCACTTTATGATGTCATAACGTTTTTTTTGGCTTGTGTAACCATTAGCCAATAACCAACCAAGGTAACCCCACCCCCCCCACACCTTATCACCTGGATCTCCTCATAGAGCACCATTGAGTTCTTTTTAACCAACTATCTCGGCGTGGGGAGCGGCTCCTTATTTTCATCTAAAGTAACAGACAGAGAATCAGCACTTTGGAAACCGGGCTGAAACAGAGGGGATTATGGGACGCTACAGTGCATGATCTGTTTGGTGTTTCAGAGACATGTTTTGTATATATCTGAGACCTATAATATATTGATGAAAAACTGTATAATAGGGGACCTTTTAAACAATGGAATAGGACTGTTATTATTTTTTCTCTATTACATTTTTATTATTAAACAATTTATATATTTAGACAATGTCAAAGTAGGCAGTGGAGGATGTGAGAAGAAGCCACAAAACAACATGATGAATATTATACCATAGTGTGTTCATAGGTTCATACATTTGATTTGCCATACGGACTGAAGAAAATAATCAGCTCTTTGCACGTTCACATCTCCACCTTCACATTTCACACTGCTTCTTATAGGTTTGATCCTTGCAGTGATAAGTGTGAGCAATACTGTGTGCTTGGAAGGAAGGACTAATCAAACTAGACATACAGTAATGTGATAATGACATTTATTCCACTATTAGTATAATGACAATGTAACAAAAATACACTGTAGGAATACATCGATAAAAAACGTTATCTTAATCACATATCCATGTTTTTAAATACAAGAATAGCTCTTACGTTTCAGTAAAGGACCTAACAATCACGTAGTCATGATTCTTGTAAATCTATCGGTAGTTTTATTTTTTATTTTACCATTGCCTTCATTGTACTGCCCCCTGATCTCCTTTTATCGCTCCCTCTCTTCTTTATTAAAGTGTTCACGCCTTGTTTATGAAAAACATTTTAAAACTCACTTTATTAACTGCTACTTCAAACCATTGCTTTATATTTCTTTCAAACAGCGAATCCGGACTATTTGTGTGAAACTCTGACCTTAATTGATCTCCTCTGCTCCTGGCACTATTTCTCTCAGAGAGGAGCTTCATCTTTTGCGTTTGATCGTAATGAGAGTTGTTAGCCTCCATGACAACCAAGACCGCTGGGACAGCCAAGCAATGCTGGGGGCTGCTTATTTACAATGATAGAAATAACATGGTTGGCTGTAATTTTGTGCACAAACCGTACAAAGGAAATTTTAGACGGCTAAGCACTGTGAAAATCAGGAAAATTGAACAATATTACCAGAAAATGTAATCACGCAAACACTTTTTAGAAGAGGTCAATTTAAAATATAGCAGCTTCACCCCACAATATTTGAAATTAATTTTACATAATGTTGCCCTAAATGAGGAAGCTTTTTTTCTTTAACCATAGTTTGCCATTACAACCACTCTTTTGAGCAGCCATGATATGACAGGTACATTTTATTCCTCACTGAAGCATCAAATTGTTGATAGAATATAGGAGGAAATATTACATGAACAAGATGAAATGCACTTGAGCAAGTCATGACATATTTCTTGATCGTCTCTCTTCTATGTTATTGGTCAGCTGAAACTTCTCTCTGTAAAAGCCTACAAGGTTGAGATTAGATTAAAAGCTAGTGGGTACAATTGTTACATTCCAACATCTTTGGCTGCATTTGCTCGTCTTTGTCTGTTGAAATATGGATGAATGTTTTCATGAACCACATTAAGTGTTAAGTGTTAAGTTATTGATCTGAGGAGATATTTATCCTTGATGTTCATGGAAGACAGTTAAAAAGTTTTGAATGTGATGCATGTTCTCAAACTATCTTTGGCCTTCGGCGCCATCCTTGATAAGTTGCAGTTGCTAAGTCTGCAATCTTTTTTCATTTACGTCCATGACAATCTTTTGTTGTTTAATTGTACTGAAGTTGTTAAAGATGATATCAAACATGGCCAAGTGTTTCCAAGCCCATTGTTGCCATTGTTTGGTTGTCACAGCGGACATCAGGAGCTGAACAGACACACACACCCGCCTGTGTGTGGTGGCTGTACTGCTCCAGCCGTCTCCTTTGTGTTTGTTTGTTTCCCCCTGTCTGTGTTGTTTGTTTGTGCGTGGTGGCTGTCACTCCTGGCTCCCGGCTCAACCTCCACTCACCTGCTGCAATCAGCTGTGCACCCTCCCCGACTACACACCTGCTTTCCATCAAGNTGCGTCAAACACGCATGAGACTTTAACGTAATGGGCGTAACACAGTGTTTCCGCGTAACGCATGCTGCACGACAATGCAACCAGACATGTGTGCCTTAACACGGTTTGATTGCGGTGGCCAGACGCCTCCCTCTGAGGGGGGAAGGTGAACGCTCTTGACGCGATTTTGTTGACTAGGGTGCAAATGTGAGACCCAGTGGGCTTATAAACACACCTACGTTTAAATATATAATTAGGCTTAATGTAAAGACTTAGGAAGACACACGTAAATAAATAAAACTCTGACTTGGACTGGGCGCATGATTTCACAAAAGTTACAAAGAAAGTGAAAGTACAATTTCAAAATGCCGCGACGTGAACCTGACAATTGTGAAATAACTTTTAATCGTGTGATTTGTCGGTTCTATAAACAATCCTCAGGGAGCACCCACCCACTTCTTGGGTTTTGTCTCGACATTCATATATTCAATATAAACTTACATCACCAGTCCTCAGACACTGTCGTGTTTCTCGAAGGGTAGTGGTGTGTCGATGTCAAGCCAATCCAAAAGGAGTTCTCCTTTCTAACGACAGCCCGGTACGTCTCAAACATAGACACTGTCCAATACAACCACCAAAATACACAACATAAGTGCATTGAACTCATTTCGATTGGTACACGACCAACTAAAATAGTTGGAAGTTTTGCGCCTTAGTTTCAATGGTGTAGAGTAATACAACTTAATCCCGGGCCAATAATATTAGATACTGTAACAGTCATGCTCGACAAATTTACGTCTTACACGACCAGTGTCCTTGAAGTCACCGCGGCGCTACCGTAACCAAAAAACCTCTGCACAACTCTTTGACAAAATTACACAGAAGAGTACACCTTAATCTCCTCAGGGCAGATATATTATGGAGGTTTGTTCATTATTTCCAAAAACACCAATAAATTTGGCGTTACTGCCACGTGACTATATCTACGATCGATCGCTCCTTAACCCTTGGAATCGAGTACACTGGTTAGTGTTCGCAATATATGGAGTCGTCACACGCCGGAAGAAAATGTAAAGTCTAAGGCTGTTACCCCCAGGAATCGGATGCTCTGCCTCGACGAGACAAACTTAAACTCTTGTCTAAAACCGTCTCGCTCACTGGAAAATTCCAGTTGCTACCTCGAATGTCAGCAACGGACGGACAGAGACGCCCACAGGGAATGAAGGTAGGGGGTTTTAGTTCCATTCCAATTACCATGCAAATGAAGCGAGTGTCGCTGACTCGTCCCCGTTATAACACGCAACATGAAAGACATAGTTATATGTCAATTCAGTTCTTTTCTGCACTGTTTACTATTTCTTGGATGTTAACTAATAAATAAGTAACAATATAAATGTCTAGATTCGGTCCACAGTATCTTCTCCCATTACACACTCCGTCAAATTTAGTGTGTAACATTTATTATGTCTACCTACGACCTTACTCCACATTATCTTTTGATTCAATTTACTAACGACCAAGTCCCGGTCATCCGCTTCTATTTACAATAATTGCTGCTGAAGTTTCTTGAGTCCCAACCACTCCTGGAGTCGAAAGACCTCAGAAAAGTCTACACGTCGCGCATTTTTGGTATCGGACATGATGATATTCCATTTTCTATTTCGTCGACAGACACACAGACCACCAGTGGCCCCTTGTTACTCGATCGGGGGGGGGGGCTTCTAGAGTCCTCGAGACCCCCATTGTTCTCGTCGTACAGCCTGATATATAACGAAGGGTTTGGTAAATCACGAATATTCAATCATTATGGTAAAAAATTAGCCAAGGACGATTACCATGGACGTCTTAGAAACTATTGATTGGGGAGCGACACAAGGTGTGTGTCGTAGACATGTAGAGTTAATTCTTTGTGCAATGAAACTATTTTTGCTAACCATCTCTATCACACCACCGAGAGTCCCGTGCGTCAGACTTATATGCCGGGACACCATAATCGGAAACCAATTATCATTGCTATTAATCTAGTAGTCTATTGAGTATTCTTCGCGCCAGTGGACAAACATTTAAGACAGCTTCTCGTCCTCCCTACGCGGTACTCTTTGTCAGGACTGCCAATGTGTCGACTGTATGTCGGACCAGTCTTGGGTCTTGCAACAGCATTCGTCCCTACGTCGTGACAGTCACGTACGACGAAGACTTCTTTATCGACGCACGGAAGTCTGGTCTCGACTCAATAACTCTATCTGACATCCTAGTATACAAACGGGTCACAGGATTGTCAAACTACCGAGTGAAATGTGGAATCTTTTCCCGCTGTAGACTATACTAGGTTTTAGGTTAAGTATATAAGAACCAAGGTCACCACAAGTATTCCCGGTCTCTTGAGAGAGCGTCTTTGACCGCATCGAATGGGCAACTAAACACCCGAACTTGTACTACAATTTTTACACGTTTATTCGTTAACCGTCGCACCCTTCTGTATGTGTCTCGAACTATGGATGCTCATTTTCCACCTTCATAGCTCACATCCTTATGCAGACCACTGTCAATTTCAGGACGTATAGTTTAAAGGCGAGTTTCATTTGCGTCATCTGTCTTCAAACCTACGTCTTTTCCATTCATGGTTTTCATTTTCAGAAGTAAA